TGTTGAGATCTAGCATTTGCTTCAAATTTTGTTTAGCTTGTGCACTCAGATGCGCCTACATTGGATTAATTTATGAACCAGAGAGTGTTTTTGTTTTAGTTATCATGTTATTGTTTATTGGATTAATTTATGAACCAGAGAGTGTTTTTGTTTTAGTTATCATGTTATTGTTTCAGTTTTTTTCTAAATATGTCTAGTAATATCACTTTTGTTTCAGTTTTTATTCTAATATGTAGCAATATGCCAATATCATTTGTAGACATATCTATTTATCAAAGTTACGGTGTCTACCAATCTTATTTTTTTGTATATTTTATGATATTTGTTCGAGTTTCATTTCTGTTGCCATTTTTTTTTATTTTTTTTTTTCAATTTTGAAGTGAATGTAGAAATTATTGGGGAAGTGAATTTTAGTTCTGAATCGAATGTTTGAAGTTAAGATGAAGATTTAATTATACTAAGAGCCATCTTGAGAGATTTCTTATTTCTGGTTTAATTGTTACAAGGGATTTTCTTTTATAAATTTTGCACTTTTCGTAGACAATTTATTTGGTGCGAGTTCATTTTTTAAAAGTTGATCATGTGTACAGAACGGTTGATCATACTTGGTGCGAGTACCTTTCTTATGCAATTTTTTTTTATGAAAAATGAGAGTGTAAAATTCTAGCCTAGTATATTCTTAATTTCTAGATCCGTCCCTGTTAACAAGTACCTTTCTCTCGCCCAACTAAATCCCAAAATCGCCGGCGACGCACACACTGTCTCACACAGTAGCGTACTCTCCTTTTATTTTCGAGGAATTTCTTCCAGCTGCATAATTTCTAGCTCTTTGATGCCTTCTTGTGTCCTTGCCTGTAAACTGTTTGACGATATGCCTGAAAGAATTTCTTCGATCTTCGAGTAATTTCTGCCATTGATGCATAATGCCATTTTGTGTCCGTGGCTGCGCAATTTCTAGCTTTATGATGCCTTTTTGTGTGTGTCCTTGCCCGAAAACTGTTTGATGGTATGCCTGAAAGACGTTCTCGAATCTTCGAGTAATTTTTGCCGTGGCTGCATAATGCCTTTTTGTATCCTTGCCTGAAAACTTTTTGATGATATGCCGGAAAGTTCTTCACACCTCAGTTGAGTTTGTAGCTTTATCTTTCTGTGGGTTGTTTTTAGTATGCCGTATTAACGCTTTTTGCTCCTTTTTATGTGTAATTTAGCACCTTTAGTTTGTTATTCATTTACATTTTTCTGATCATTGCTTTACCGCTTTGCATTTTTCTTGATTTTTTTTTCTTTGGGTGAGGTGCTGCTGTTTATCAATTGTTGGTGTGTTTCCTAAAACTATCTGCAGCCTGCTCGTATGAAATTTTATTTTCTATAATTTTGGGGTTCTGTACTAACTCTTCCCTAATATTAGGTATTTATTATAGCTTGAACAAGTCGAAATTGAAGTATTGAATGTATGAATATCATAAATTTTATCCAAGGCATGTTATCAAACGATTTCATCAATAAATTTTATCTAAGATCTATTACCAAACCGATTTCATCAATTCCCCTTTTTGTTATAGTATTATTGTTTAATATTCTGTTAGGATTTGGTTTTTTTTTTCTTTCTAATTTTATGTATAATTTTCTGGAAATTAGAGAAAGAAATGGAAGAAGATTAATTCCTTCAATTTCACAGCATATCGAGTTTGATGATTTCCCTTTCTTCAAAAACCCTAACTCCATCCCTTTCTTCGATTTCTCTTCTTCCAACCCTCTGTTCATGGCATATTCTTCTGACTCAGTTTCTCCATTGTTTGCATAACAGTAAGCAAGAAAGATGAATGCGGTGGCATCAATATACAGAAGATTAAGCATCAGGGATCTAGTTGCAAATACTCCGGTTTATGCCTCTGTCACTGGTAAAATTATTGATCTTGCTTAAATGTAATATCTGTGTTTGCTAAGACGATGTCGTAATCAACTCAGTTTGTATTTGAAAAAATGAAAAAAAAAAA